TTTCTCTCTCTTTCTCTTTCGCTCACTCTTCCTCAAGGGGTGTTGTTTTGGCTTCCCCATTCGCTCTGTAACAACGCTTCTTGTACCCAAGCTAAAGATCCCTGAAGTGCACAAAATCCTGTGGGGTTTGCTCATCGTGTGGTTTACCAGTGAATGATTGTGGTGTGAAAGTGAGGATAGGGGGTGCTGAACCTGGTAGCTTATGAGGATGGCAGCTTAAAGTGCTGTTTAATCCAGACCACTGAGCGCAAAGGCTCATGAGGGTGCAGTGTGGCATTGCTGTTAACCCAGCCAGCTGAATCCAGGGACATATGAGGGGTCAGCTTGTGAGTGCTGATTACCCAGTCCTCTCACCGTGCTCTGTTAGTGGGTGTGAGTGTCTGTGTGTGTTGCTAAGGTGGGAAGAACCCCATCCTAAGGAACCTAGTTCCTGCAGGAGAGCTCCAGTGGGAGGGGGAATTGGCAGCAGGGAGAATTCAGCTCCATATGAGAGCACAAGTAAGCACAAGCAGCATACTGATAGAATTGTTAACATCCCCCGCGCCCCATAAGAGTAACCTTAATAAATGAGCATACCCCAGAGTATTGGGCAAATCTGGTAACAACCATCTTAAATACACAGGACCGTATTCTTTGACTCTAGTATTGTTAAGAACCAGATTGTGTCTGGCTGCCTAGCGTAAGCAGGGTAGGCAGGAAGGGTGCAAAAGTCCATCAACTTATGTAGCCATGTTCTATTGTAGTCCACAAGCTCTCTCTCTATGTGCTCCACTTTTGTCTGGAAATGGGTGACAGGGGAGGATCACCTGAGGATTACCTGTGTGTTCCCTCCCTCTGGGACAGCTGGTATTGGCCACTGTCGGCAGACAGGATACTGGGCTAGATGGACCCAGTATGGCCATTCTTATTGGGCACAAGACACCCCAAAGGGGGAGAGCTGGGGAAGAGGCAAAGCGGGCAGAGTGGAATATGCAGAAGAAGTTCCTTTGAAGAGTCTCCTGTAGGGCTGCAGGAGAAAGTCTGTCTGCTTTAGGCAGAATTCCTCCAACATCTGCTCAATGCAAGTAGGTACCTAAGTAGCACAGGGATGAGCCCTAGTAAGCATTGACTGTGACAGTCACTTTAGCCAGAATTTAAGGATACAATCAGAAATGTACTGAAAGGGTACACCACAATAAAGTTTTATGACAGTTTTTTAACACTAAAATACATTTTAAGAAGTAAATACTTCATCTTTCATGAATACAAGTTTAATTTTTATTTTCTTTCCAGATAAAATCAAATGGGGGAGAAGAGGCAAAAAATGGCAGATGACAAGAATCTGTCTTTCTGCTATCTATAGAAATAGCAAGCAACTTGGTAATGCAGGTTACACCACGCTATCAGAACATGACACCTCTCCTTCTTTTCCTCACATTCTGCTTTTTTTTTCTGCTTTAGAAAAAGGAACATAAATTATAACTCTGGTATATCTACACTGGTTAGACCCTTTTATTCATGACTTGCACCTTTTTTTTTATCTTCAGTAAAGGCTTGTGTTCACTAAAAATTTAGAGAGCTAGAATATGACCTTAAACTAACACAACATTGACTACAACTTTGCTGTCACACGAGACAGCCACAGATGGTATTATGCTAACAGGTTGTGGGTAAACCTTGGTTCCAGTGGGATTTACTCACAACCAGCTGCATGATGTTAAAACACAACTTATCGCGGTATACTGTGACAGCAGCATCACATTAGTAAACAGGACTCAAGGTTGTGCTCTAGCTCAATGTAATTTTCTAGTGAAGACAAATTCTTAAACGGTCCTCAGTAGAGATGGTCTATTCCACAAGCTGACTTTTTATAGCTAAGAGAGCCTGAATGAGATGCCTTCAGCACCAATTAATGTCTTTCTCAGTTTGGTCACATGGGTTGCTATGAAGCTCTCCCTTTAATATGGCCTGCTCTTGCTGCCTCCAGTGTTCTCAGCTCTTGCAAGAATAGAGAATAACTTATCTGTTTTTGGAAAAGCAAATTGTTACAGGGTTTTTGGCCCTTTAAGTGGATATGGGCACAGCTCTACCAGTGCTACATTAGTTGGAGGAGCTTTCCTGTCCCTTTCTGCCTGCAATCAGTATTGAGCCAGAGCGTATAGATGTCCATAAAACTTCCTTCCTAATGGACTGTGTTTTCTTAAAAACAGATTGAACTTCAGAAGGGATGGCTTGCTGGCTGCATACACCCTTAAAAAGGGTACTTACAAAAAATCGCAAAGAGCTGAAAACATACTGAGAGAGCCCTGTGAAGATATAAAATTGCTATCAACATTTGCATCTGCATGGATATAAAATGTGTGTTTGCTAATCTGCAGGGTTGTAGATACAAAATTTGTATCCACATCTGCAAAAATGAGCCGTGGATATCCGCATCCACACCCGCAGATGTGAATATTTGCTGGTATAAAGCGGATATCCACAAATTTGCAGAGCTCTGCTTACTAAAGCTTGCAGTGCTTCTGGAGCTCTTGTTAAAATGGCTAATTATTTATTGAGGAAAATAACATCCCAATCCAAATATTTTAAAAGTTCTGATTTTTTTTGTTTTTGTTTATTCTGGCCAGAAACAAAGATTATAATGGATTCCTTTCCTTTTGTGCTTTTCTAAAAATTGGTATTATACATTGCTCTGAAGAAGAGGGATAAAGGAAATGAAGTATGTGAACAAATATGATGCATGAGAGAGTGACAGTCACATTCATATGTTCATTTACTCTAAATAAATTCCGAGCTATACACATTTTAATTAAACACAGAAATCATATGTTACATATTTAGAGAAACAGTGATGCCAGTAGTATACTTCCTGCTGTGAACTTTAAAAGAAACCTTATTTTAATTTCCTGACTGTAAAATGAATTTAAAGCACTAGATTAAAAAAGATAGGTACGGGAGGGAGTACTGTACCTCAGATTGCTTATTTGCTATACCCTGCTTTGCCTCATTTCAAGACTGGGACTTGGCTCCCAATCCTGCAGGCTGCTTGGCACTTGCAAACTCTTATACCAGCATGGAGTTCTAATAAGGTATGCCTTCCCTGCACAGTAAGCTCAGGTGACTGGGTATAAGCAGCAACATTACAAGGTTATATCTGTGTTATCAGGTCCGCACAGGTTGCTGTGCTCCCTCCTGTGCACTGCTAGAATTTCTTGAGCCATAGCCCGTGGTTTTTTCCACCGCAGTAAGCAGAGTTGTTCTATCATTCTTTCCCAGGGAATTTTGGGAGAGCTTTTCTGTCCTTCTAGGCATGTGGGAGAATTATGGGAAGGCACTCGAGGACTAGCACCATTTGAATGGTTTAGCCTGCTTCCTCACTGCAAAGTGGGCAGATTACCTGCCTGACTCTCTGGCTTTAGCCTACAGCCCCACTGAGTTACCTGATGTGGGCTGAAAGTATATTGTGGTTTAGAGTATATTGTAGCTATGTCTACATTGCCCGTTTTGCACAAAAAATATGCAAATGAGGCGAAGCATGGAATATTAATTAATGAGGCTCCGTTTTTGCGCAAGAGGCTTTTGCGCAAAAAGGAGCTGTCTACATGGTTCCTTTTTGCGCAAAACCCCCTCTTGCACAAGAGCTGTTCTTCCTGAAAAAATGCGGAAGAATGGCTCTTGCACAAGAGGGGCTTTTTGCACAAAACCGGAGCCTCATTAATTATGCAAATGAGGTGCAGCAATAGTCCACGCTTAGCCTCATTTGCATATATTTTGCACAAAATAGGGGCAGTGAGTGTAGTGAATATACCCTTAAAGTCACCACGGCTAATCCGTGGGTGTGGGGGTCTGACTTCATGTTAGTTCTTGCAGGATCAGGAGTTACAACCATCTAATGGGCCAGAAAACCAGTGGCAACTTTCCAGAGCAAGTCAAAGTGTTGCTACAGTGTGGGCTCGAGAGGCTCAAGGAAGGAGGAAAATAAGTGCTATAGGAAGACATTTGCACTCCCCTCACCCATATGTAGGTATATGAAGGATTTTGAGCATTATTTGACTCTTTTTGACTTGTGCTGATTCAAAGTGACGAACATTTGGCAGGAAAAACCTTAAATAAAGGCCTTAAATAAAAGTCTTACAAATTTGCCACATGCCTGAACTGAGCTCAGAGTGAAAATAAAAGTAAGTAGTTTCATGAAAAAAAATACTGATGTACTGGAGCACAGAAATGAAATGCTGAATTTTAGCTGGTTTCATTTCCTTGCCTTATTGTTTGAAGAATGACAGAGGGAAGTGGAGTTTATTTGTGAGCATGTACATGATGTTTACACTCCAGATAAATCAGAGTTAAGGGAAAAAATCATGTGGAGTGGGGCCAAAGAAAAATTCATGAGACATTGAGTGTTCAGAGGACTCAGAATTCATCATTTTGGGCCAAATTGATCCCTGGTGTTATTCCATTCATTCCAGTTTAATTACAGTTTAATTATTCCATTCACTCCAGTTCAAATTAGAATGAATTTGTCTTCTTCACTCTCTAGGTTTTAAGGAAATGGATACTGCCAGATTGTTCCACCAAAGTAAGTGCTGCATTTGGCATGGACTCATCTGGACCATTATTAACATATCAGTTTCCACAGTGTGGGCTTTCTGAACAGACTCCCATTCCAAATCTCTGCCAATACATGCAGGGCATGGTTTTGTGAGTGCCTAGCTTTGTCTAGTGTAGCAGTGCAGGGGTCACAGTCCCACTCAGGTTTAGCTCGGCTGTCCCTCTATTATGACAGAATGGTGACAAGATTAAATCAGAATGATGCTATGACCAGGTTGCAATGCCGAGAGTGCAGAGCTGGACCAAGCTTTGTGCTATGGGGTGAATACAGACTGCGCAATCTCTTTACTATTTCTCCTGCATGAGCCTGCCTCCCATCTATAACCTACCCATGATGTACTGGTGGGTAATGAACCACAGTTTGGGAAGCACTGCTCTAACGCAAAAAATACTGTAAGGTATTGAACACTTACTTCTTTTACAAACCATTGGCAGAAGGCAGGACCAATCCATTCTCTTGCATGAATGCCACAGTCTATCCAGACAGCTCTCTTGTAAGGCCGTGATCTTTTACCTAACTAAAATAGTAAATGTTCACTGTTATCACAGCAGGTTTTAGTGCTTACTGACATAAACTGAGCAACGATAGCAGAAGTGAACACAGTTCACGAGATACAATAGACATTTTGAACTTTTCTTGTAAACAGTTACAAAAGAGATACAGATCATTATTTTGGAATTCTAGGTATCAACCATGCCGATCATTTGAAGATTACAAACTGCAAAAGTCACAGGGAAAGCCTTATATTGAGGAAAAATTTCCTTTTATGTCACTTGGAGCAGGGCTAGGGCAACTTACAATTGGAGAATAATCTTAAATTTCCCTGATATCAGCATGTGATATGAAACCAAAGTTTTAAGAAATTAATGAGAAAGGATTCAAGGAAAACATATTTAAAAGCAGTGGCTTTTCCTTTATAGGCCTTGGATAATGCTGAGCATAGAATCCCTACATTTCATCATCAATAGCTCAACAAGAATTATGTGTGGCACAATGTTCAGAGGAGGTCCAGGGTTTCTTGTGGTCCATTTCTCCTTCAGTGTAATCACTCTAGAAGTCAGCTATAAACACAACATTTTCCAACTCCCTTAAAGCCCAATCTTGCTTGCTTTCCTCGTTCAAATAATGCAGTAAATTGCAGTGGGAGTATCTGCAGATATAAAGCCAGCAGGATTTGACTTTTCACTTTCTTAAAAGTGAACTATTTTCTCAAAGTGTATTACATTGTTCATTAAGGACCTGATCCAGAGAGAGGAGCTGAATTCCCACAAATCCCTCTGACTTCATGTAATGGATCTGGTGCTCAGATCCTCTCATATAAACGTGCTCTGTGAAATAAAGTGTTTGATTTTGGTTTCAGGTGTTAAATATAATAACTTTAACTATATTTTCTTTACCTTTAGTACAAACAGAGGTCTCCCTTCATATGATTTTCCAATAGAGAACATATGAATAAGATTTGAATGGGTTTTGTTCAGATGATACATCCAACTTTGAATCTGAAAATACAGGCATGAAATCACTGCTCAGTCATTAACATTTCTGGGAAAAAGTCATTAAAGTGAAGGAGGGGAGGGAAAGGATAGTGAGACCTGTCAAGAATATGTTGTTTTCCACTTGTGTCCTATCTGTCACTTAGCTTGTGAGCATGTGGAACTGTTTTTTTGTTTTGTTCCATGTTGGTACAATGCCTAACACAGTGGGGCCTCGAGCCTTTAAAAGGGTTCCTAGGTGCTATTTAATACTACTTTTACTACAATGACTAAGCCCACAAGTATGGTTTTTAATTTGGTCTTTCATTTTGTACTATCTCTGTTCTCTGATAAATGCTCTAGACCAGGGGCAGGCAATAACTGGCCTGCGGGCCAGATGTGGTGCGACAGGGTTAGCCCGTGGTTGGCTTCCACCTACACCTCAAATTTCACAAGAAAAAAAGCAGAAATTTCAAAACCTCCTAGACAGAGAACGTTCCTTTTGACTTCAGTGAGAGATTCATAGAATCACAGGATCCTAGAAAAGTAGCATTAGAAAGGACCTAGAGAGGTCATCTAGTCCAGACCCCTGCATGGAAGGAGGACCATGTAAACCTAGAAAATTCCTGAAAGGTGTTTGTCTAAATTGTCCTTAAAAACCTTCGGTGATGGAGATTCTACAATCTCCCTAGGACAATGATTCCAGACCTTAACTGCCATGTATAGTTACAAAGTTTTTCCTAATATCTAATCTAAATCTCCCTTGCTGCAAATTAAGCCTGTTACAACTCCTATCTTCAGTGAATGTGGAGAACAATTGATTACTGTCCTCTTATATTTGAACTTTGCATCATTTTTGTTGTCCTCTATACCCTTTCAAGTTTGTCCATATTTTTTCTAAATTGAGACTGAGCCAATGCCAGAGAGTGAGACAATTACTTTCTGTGACTTACATATAACATTTCTTAATACACTCCAAGATGACATTAGCTTTTTTAGTAACTGCATCACATGGTGACTCATATTCAATTTATTGTTCACTTTAACCCCGAGAGCCCATTCAACAATACTACAGCTTAGTTGGTTATTATCCATTTTCCAGTTTAATTTTTCCTTCCTAAGTGAAGGACTTTACTCTTATCTTTACTGAATTTTATCTTGTTGATTTCACGCCAAATTTCTAATTTATCAAAATCATTTGAATTCCAAACTTGTGTTCCAAAGTGCTTGCTATCCCTCCCAGTCCTTGGTGTCTGCCACAATTTTTTAAAGAATACTCTCAACTCCATTATTGAAGTAATTAATAAAAAGACTGATTGTACTGGATCCAGGACTGGAGGGCTCATTAGATATGCCATCCCAGTATTATAACTAATTTGAGTACAGTCTTTGTGCCAGCTGTACACCCACTTTATATTAATTTCACTTAGATCACGTTTCCCTAGTTTGCTTATGAGAATGGCATGTGGGATTGTGTCACGAACCTTACTAATATCAATATATAATTCACCTGAATGAGAAGTGAATTTGACCCTTAATAATAACTTAATTAATACAAACAGTGCCTGTTTCTCTTTCTCTGCTGGTCAACTGAAATCCATGGAAATACTTCATATGGAAAGTTTGAGGGTTGGACCCTTTATAGAGGAATCATTATCTGAATACTTTTAACTCTTTGGGATCAGTCCTACAGGCACTTAAGTATGTGAGCAAATTGTAATCACAAGTAGACATGTACACTTCAATGAGACTTCTAAAGTAACCATGACCCCAGATTCTTAGGTCAAAAGAATTAAAAAAAATCATGTTAACAGTGCCTGATTTATAAAGAAACACATTTCTAAGGTCATTAGTTATATTTTAGAAAGGAAAAGGAACATCAGAACATAAAAAAATTGTCACACTGGGTCAGACTACATTTAGCTGGTACATTTAGCTCAGTATCCTGTCTTCCAACAGTGGTCAGCACCAGATGCTTCAAAGGGAATGAATGGAACAAGGCAATTATTGGGTGGTCCATCTACTGTTGTCCAGTTCCAGTTTCTGGCAGTCAGAGATTTAGGGATACCCAGAACATGGATTTGCATCCCTCACCATCTTGGCTATCAGCCACTGATGGACTTAGCCTTCATGAATTTACCTAATTCTTTTTTGAGCCCAGTTATACTTTTAGCTTTCACTACATCCCCTGGCGACAAGATCTACAGGTTGGGTGGGCACTGTGTGAAATAATACTCACTCTTGCTTATTTTAAACATGCTGCCTATTAATGTCATCAGGTTATCCCAGCTCTTGTGTTTTCTGAAGGGGTAAATAACACTTCCTTGTTCATTTTCTCCACACCAGTCATCATTTTATATCCGAGGGGTAGCAATGTTAATCTGTATCTGCAGAAACAACGAAGAGTCCTGTGGCACCTTAAAGACTAACATTTATTTCAGCATAAGCTTTCATGGTTGGTTTTTGTCCATGAAAGCTTATGTCCAAATAAATCTCTTAGGCTGTGTCTAGGCTGGCCAGTTTTTCCGGAAAATCAGCTGCTTTTCCGGAAAAACTTGCCAGCTGTCTACAATGGCCGCTTGAATTTCCGCAAAAGCACTGACTTCCTACTGTAAGAAATCAGTGCTTCTTTCGGAAATACTATTCTTCTCCCGTTCAGGCAAAAGTCCCTTTTGTGCAAAGCTTTTGCGCAAAATGGCCAGTGTAGACAGCTCAGATTTGTTTTCCGCAAAAAAGCCCCGATTGCGAAAATGGTGATCGGGGCTTTTTTGCGGAAAAGCGCGTCTAGATTGGCGCGGACGCTTTTCCGCAAAAAGTGCTTTTGCAGAAAAGCATCTGTGCCAATCTAGACACTCTGTGCTGAATATGCTTTTAACGGAAAACTTTTCCGTTAAAAGCATTTCCAGAAAATCATGCCAATCTAGACGCAGACTTAGGGTATAACTACACAGCAACATTATTTTGAAATAATTAGCATTATTTCAAAATAATGTCGAAATACTGTCAAGCTGGAGGACTTCTTACTCCGACTCATGTAACCCTCATTGTACGAGGAGTAAGTGAAGACACAGGAAGAGTGCTCTGTTTCGAAATAAGTGCTGTGTAGATGCTCCCTATTTCGAAATAAGCTATTTCAAAATCAGCTAAGCAACTGACATAGCTCAATTCGCATAGCTTATTTCTACTTAAGCCCTGTGGTGTAGATGTACCCTTTGGGTGTGTCTACACAGCGAAGTTATTTTGGAATAATGGCCATTATTCTGAAATAACAATGCACGTGTATACCCAGCAATTCTGTTATTTTGAAATAATTTCGAAATAACGGACGGCTTATTTTGACTTCTGTAAACCTCATTCAACGAAGAATAATGCCTATTTGGAAATAGCTATTTCGAAATAAAATGTGTGTAGACACTCCACTTCTGCTATTTCGAAATAGCCCCTCACCAGAGCCATTCTAAGTTATTCCTCCTGGGGTTCTAGATCAAAATAGCCTGTCTACATTAGGGAAGCCTACTTTGGACTAACTGTGAGGCTTCCCTACAGTGTAGACGTGCTATTTCAAAATAAACTATTCCAGAATAAATATTCTGGAATAATTTATTCTGAAATAACTGTACAGTGTAGACGTAGCCTTCATCTCCAAGGTGCCACAGTACTCCTCATTGTTTTTGCATAATTTTATAGACTTCATCATATCCCCTTTTAGTTGTCTCTTTTCTAAGGCCAACAGTCTTATTCTTTTCACTCTTTTCTTGCATGGAAACTGTTCCATGTCCCTACTCATTTCTGTTCCCTTTCTCTGTACCTTTTCCAATCCAGTATATCTTTCTGAGATGCCAAGCCTTGAAAGAAAATATTACAAATAATAATGGATTAAAAAGCAAACTTTCAAGGTTCAATATTTTTATTTTATATAAAACATTTAGAAAACTTGCTGAAAATAAAAATGCATTTAAACTTTTACTAGCCTCTCTATTCATCAGAATCAGAACACACTTTTAAATAGATAGGGTGAAATTTTAGCCTCACTGAATTGAATGAGAGTTTAGATAACAGACTTCATCTTCATTTTCAACATACTTCTCCCAGTGAGTGATATACTTCATAGTTATATCCTGGTACTGATCTACGATGCCTATATGATCGCAAACCACTTTGTTTTTCTACCGCTTTCTGTAGATCAGAGATGATGATTCTAGATTAAATAAGAAAGCAGCATTATTAAATGGCATGAGTAATAAACAGTGCAGTGCAAAATAAATATCAGATATAAAGAGAAATACAGTGACAATAAAACTGTGCTGATGTTACACTATTCTTTTTTATTTTAACAATAAAAGTTTTCAATCTTATTACAATGCATACTGCCAAATAAGTAGTCCAATTGCTTTGAAACATAACAGTGCTTTTAAAAATGGAGGCAGCTTGTTCTTAAGTGAATGATACAGAATGATGTAAACAACTAAGCCTATGTGGAAAAAGTCAGTACTTTACGTGTATTCAAGCTATGCTTGTATGGCAGCGCTTGTCTACTTTTATATTTGAAAAAATCTTGCTCATGTTTTCTCTTTGGGTAGGAGTCATGTGTTATGCTTAAAAGAAGCACACAGGATCTTTTTCAGGGGGATAAGGCAACACGCTGCATTTATTGATAATATAACAAAGTAGCATATGCATTTACACATGCACACACATACACATCCTGCTGATGGAATAGTTACCAGTCTGTTGCTCGGCCCAACCTATTGGCCAGATAGATCAGGTGTGAGGGAGGGAGCTGGGTTCTTGTCAGTCCGGATTGATGCTCCGCTTGGTCTTAGCAGAACAGAACCCAGCTCCCTCCCTCGCACCCGACCTATCTGGCCAATAGGTTGGGCCGAGCAACAGACTGGTAACTATTCCATCAGCAGGATGTGTATGTGTGTGTGCATATGCTACTTTGCTGTATTATCAATAAATGTGGCGTACTGCCTTATTCCCCCGAAAAAGATCCCGTGCGCTTCTTTTAAGCATAACATTTTGGTGGAGAATGTAGGCCAAAGGAGACATCACGCCCAACTTGTTGGATAACATCCAAAGGGAAAAAACCTGCAGTATAAACTAAGAAATATCAATATTTCTTATTGATATCAATCAAGTTATGTACACCCCCGGCTGTAGAGTCCCAGGCTTAGGAGTAGAAGCTTACTGTCTTCTATTCCCCCTGCAAGTCGGGGCAGAAAATAATTTAAAGATTGAATATGAAACATTGATCAATCAAGGTGTATACACCCCGAGCCATAGAGTCCCGGGCTTAGGAGTAGAGGCTTAGCGTCTTCTATTCCCCCTGCAAGGCGGGGCAGGAAGGAATTTCTGGTTATCGGATTTTTTGGCACACCACTGGTTATTGACAGTAGGAGATTGAGTAAAAGATGCTCAGAAGGAAAAATGCACAAGCAAAAAAAAAAGAGGAAAATTTGGAATTTGTAAAAGAAAGTACCCCTTTTAAACAACTTCTGCATAAGTTTGGACATAATCCTTGGACAGGACAGGCTCTTGCCGATGTCCATACCTTTGCGGACTTAGAAGATAAATTGGCCAAATATTTCCTGGTATATAAACCTTCCACAGCCAGTAAAAAAGAATCAGCCACTATTTGATTATTGTCGGTGGCTTTTAATGAAACCTTTTATTGCTTAGTAGGCTGTAAGGATGAGAATACAACTTCTTGCCAGGAAATAGACAATAGAAGGCACTTTGCAATGGTACACAGAGCCAATTAAAAATTTTAAGAAATAAATGTCAAAGATTAAAACAGCTAAATGGAAACCTACAAGAACTGGCTGATAAAAGGGGGAAATTAGAAAAAGAGAATCAAGTTTTACAGGGTATGATAAAAAGATTAACCCCGGAACAAGGTACAGTCCCTCTGGATCATAGCTGTTCTGATTCAATTATTATGAACTTACGGCAAAAATTCACTACTAGGCAAGTGGCTGCACTTACTTCCAGAGAATGGGCTACTATCCTTGAGTGTGAAGGAGATCCAGAGGAGATTTGGAAAAGAATAGAAATAAAAGTAAAAGAGCTAGAATTTTGCAATTAATATAAGATAGCTTAAACAGCATTCCACTATACTAGCTTCCCAAATGAAAAATAAAATAAAATAAAAATAGAGAAATAGAGGAAACAACATAGACTTGCATGGAAAGAAAATCCTATAAAGGATGGGGTGTCTTGTATAGTTCTTCAGGTTCTGTCCTGCTAAGACCAAGCGGAGCATCAGTCCGGACTGACAAGAACCCAGCTCCCTCCCTCGCACCTGATCTATCTGGCTAATAAGTTGGGCTGAGCAACAGACTGGTAACTGTTCCATCAGCAGGATTTGTATGTGTGTGCATGTGTAAATGCATATGCTACTTTGTTATATTATCAATAAATGCAGCGTGTTGCCTTATCCCCCGCAAAAAGATCCCATGCGCTTCTTTTAAGCATAACACCTAAACTATATATATAGATACATGGTCAGATACAAAACATAAAAAAAACACCAGACTTGGGCATTGGAAATATTCTAGCTAAAGGAAAATGAATGTGTACATTTTTTCCTTGGTTTATAATGTATAGTTATGCTACAGTTCATCTATGAAATATTAATTTTGCAGTCAGCCATTTTAAAAGTGTCTAGCAAAAAAGGTGAAATAAAACTAAATATACTGCCACACACTTAGACACAGACAGCAAAAAGTGGCTAATATTGAAAGAGAAATGCTGGAGCACTAAGGTGTGAGAAAGAAAGCTTTTCTATTTTTCTGCCCAGATCAAAGAATAGCAGAGAAAGATCACTAACTCATGGAAACAAGTCTATCCAACATGGTAGTAGACACTCATGGCCAGATTCTGACCACACAATTGCGTTAACTCAGGAGTACCTTCACTGAATTCAGAGGAGTTACAATAGTGTAAAATTAGGAACAGATTCAGGCTTTGAGAACTGTGGTGCTACCTTCTTGAACTGAGTTGCTCTAGCATTGCAACTAATGTGCCCAGGCATCATTTTTATAAAATGAAGGTGATGTTCAATCTTTTCAATTCTTAAAACAACAATGATTAATGCAAAAGAAGAAATGCTCTGTTCACCACACTTTATAAACAATAATATTTTATCCACATTTGAGATAAGTACAATTACCCTCATATAGAACCTGATTTAACAAATTACTTAAGCATATGCTTAAGAATAATAGTCTATGAGCATCAATTAAATTTATATATATGTAATTTAGGTGCCTTGCTGAATCAAGGCTGTAACTACATGACCTATAGTTTGTGAGCAGGACAGAGAAATTATAAGACAAATCAGTGTATTCCTTTATATAATTAATGAAGTATGTAAGCTTTCTCATTTACAGTATGGTAATTACTTGTTTAACACGTGCCCACTTAACACATTTTCACAATAGCACGATTTTTTTTAGGGAACATTTTTCAAATAACACGACCGTCCCCGAAATAACACAAAAATAATCAAGTGGCAGACTACTTCACGCGGTGGTATAAGTTGGTTAAAACAATGGTAATACGTATGAGCGGATAACATGTGGCCACAGCACTCCTCTGCTCACTCACGTGTTTATCTTTGTGTTTTAACAAACCGTGGCGACTTGTGTTGGTAGATATCTTGTGTCGCTAGATATCTGATGTTGACGTTGACAACCCAGCACCAACAAAAAACTGACTTTGCCGCCACCACCACCTGAAACGCAATCCCCACCTTTTCCATTATTTTTAATGGGAAAATTGACCCCGCATAGCACGTTTTTGCTTAGCATGAACATTTTCAGAAACGCATCTATAGTGTTAAATGAGGAATTACTGTATACATATAAACAAATTCAACACCTGTTAATTGTAAATACAAGCAAAGCAGAATATAGAATTAGGAGCAGTAACTGCCATTTTTTCACAACAGATGCAATTTTACATGCATTTCACATACACTACTCTGCACTATAAAGGAGGCCATTTAATTAAACCATTTGCCTGTGGGAGTCTCTGTTATGCCATAAAATGATTGTCTTGTGACTGACTAGCTACCTGCCAGGCAAACTGAAAATATGGTGTACTGAAACAGTATTTTTGAAACAAACATGGTACAAGACATAAATATTCATTAAAGATCAGATCCCACATTCCACCAGGTTAACTCGCAAAAAGTGAAATGGAAGCTTACTTGTATTTGATGTTTGCTTGTTGCAGGTAGGATAGCAGGATTTGTGACCTGTTCCTTGGAACATGTACATCTGTGACTGTATCCACTGAGATGTGGAAGATGCTGCTGGGCTGCCACAGATCCACCTATAGTGCAGGAACCAACCTGTAATTCATATTTATTCAGTGTAGGTGGGGAAATCCAGGAGATAGCACGGTTGTAATTATCTTCTATGTATCTAATATGGCAGGTCGTTTATTAGCATCATGAGTGTTTAGTGCTCTGGACAAACACTACTTAATCTCAGTAGATAGATCACTCAAATTTTATTTTTGATACAAAAATGTTTCACTACCAGTTTAACAATTTTTTGGCTGGTCTGAACTACCTGGCAATCATAATTCAAGAGAGCTTTAAATATCCATCACTTTTCTGTATCATAATTCCTATGCACTGTATAATTTTTTGTCAAAATTCCTCTAAATATTTCACATTCCCTCTGTATCAGCTTCCCTATAGACAGAAACTTTTATTTTCATTTTTATTTTTCAATGGGGCAATACAAGGAAAGAAAACTGAGGAGAAATGGAAAGTGTTCATCAAGACGGTGTTTGAGGTACAATATGCTTTCCAATGAAGATTAACCAGGATTACAAAATGCAATCAATGTTTAAGAAATGGGCATGTGGAAGATATAAAACATCAGATTGAGGAGAGGACTTGAAAAGATTACAGTATGAAACAGAGTAAAATGATTCAGAAATGCAAAGGTGGAGATTAGGATGAAAGGAGGGTTTCATACAAGGTTAAGAATCAATCTGAATTTTTTCAAGTACACAAGGACAAAAATGATACAGAAGTTGCATCAAAAGAGATAGTGAGGCATCAAAATATCTGAATTTGACCCATATTTGAAGGCAAGATGAGGCCCATCCAATAACATTAGAGGAAATAGCAAAATGAGATGGTTACCGTAATGCAGATATAGTTAAAAATCTTTTTCTAAACACAGGAACTACCAATGACTAAATAGAACGTAATGCAGTATTTGTAATTTAAATATATTTGGCTAGCCTATTTTTGGCAAGCAAATGTGGTAAATTTGAAAAATGCTTAGAAAGTTTCATCCCAGGTTGCAAACTTTTTAGAAGTGTATAGAAGTTTGAAAACAAGGGATTATAATTAAAATTGTTCTGTAACCTGATGTATAATGGTCAACTGTCAGCAAAGCACAATAATAAACATACACCTTCAATTTAAAACTAAAATATTTTATACTTAGCTACTGAAGATCTAGTAGAAAGAGCACAAGTTTAAAAAACCCTGTGCCTCGAGCTGTGTTAAAATCATTGGTGAGAATAATTAACAAATGAGGATCTAAACAAAACAAGCCATCTTAAGACACTATGGTGATGAATTCCATTGAAGGACTTGTAAGTAAATGCTCAAAATAACTGCAAGATCCTTAAGACATTTTTTAACAAAACGTGTTCGCGAAATGAAAATGGGCAAAATTACGAGACAGAATTTTTATATTCCATCATTTCTTAAATGAAATTTCAAGTACAGGTTTGACCTCTCTAGTCTGGACTTCCATAGTCTGACAACATCTGTGGTCCGGCATCCACGTGGATGCTCCCGGGCTGGAGCACTCACAAGGAAAAGGGGGAAACTACACTCAGCAACTCTTCCCACACCCTCCCAGAGCTTCTGGAGCACTGCAAATAACTGTTGCTGGGCCTCCGCACCCACAGAGGCACTGGCAGGAGCCACCCCTCCCAGCAACTAATTTGCAGTGCTCAAGCTCAGGGAAGAAGAGGGAAGAGGAGGGATGAGAGGATGCTTGGGGGAAGAGGCAGAGTGGGTACAGAGCCCAGGACAGGGTTGCCAGATGGTTTAACCAAAAATGGGAGGAGTTCTCCCAGAGGTGTGACAGGATGTACGACACAATCTGCACCCTCACATCGCACATCGGCCATGCAGCACACTACAGAATGGCCATACTGCATCCTCCTGGCCTCCCTGCCGTGCCCATGCCCCCTTCAGCCACCATTCCCGCTACCCC